ATAAATGAGACAACCAGTCGTGCACTGCTTATAAAGAGCGTACGTGCACTGCATGACGTTCTCATTATCATAGTTAGAGAGGGATGTAGGGCATGAAGTCGGCAGTTATGGTGTTATATTTCGAATTGAATTTTTTCTTTGTTTCAAAAGTATGTGGACACTTAACAAAAGACAAAAACATAGCTGAGATTAGAAATCAGTGGGGCCTCCAGAGTTTCTAATTAGCTCAAACATCCTGTCCGGCATAATCTGAACCACGTTTGCCATAGCTGTTTCGTCGCTGTCGGCCCAAATAGCCTCTACCGCCGCCTTCAGTTCATCCGCGGTTTAGTACTGCCTTGATCAAACTTTCCTATAGGGTTGCAGTAAGGAGGACACACATGCCAATCTATCGCTTCAGCACCATTTCGTTTGAGCCATTCTTTGGTAGATTGCGGAGCATCGAAAGACACGTGGTCCTGTTGCTAAAAATGCAATTTTCGCTTCGCTAAGAAAAGGCAACAGGTGACATTGGAGCACTGCTTGGTATTCTTTACAGTTCATACGCAATAATGGAACGGCAACTTCTGAATTTCCGCTGCTTGCGAAACCGCCGCAGACCCATCAACGGGCTTTTTCCGAAATTCCTCCTCGACTCACGGCCGTGCCTCACCAGCAGTAGCAAAATCCACCGGACCCGTCAAACCAACTCTTTCCTCTTCTGAGTTAAGATTACCTGAGGAAAAAAGTGCATGAAAGTTGTTTGTCTAAAAAATAGAGAATTCTCGAAAAATCGTATCTTCTCCTTGTGTCCTATACTAAACTGAATAGCACCACTGCACAGAGAACCGTTGACAGCACCGTTTATTGCTCACTGAGCGCCTTGCACCACAGTTCCAAAACTGAACCTTACCCCACTTCGGGGAAGGCTCCTCAGGTAGGATAAGATATACTATCATTCGTGAGATCATTGATACTCTACTTTATCACGACTTCATTCTTATCCTTCGCATGAGCAACACGTTTTTCCATGTGCGCCATAGTTTTTCTTCATTTTGATACTCCATCAAAACTAAACATTTTACTAAACAAACAATGAACAGTAATGCAAAAAGATAACAGCAAAACATAATCGTTATTCCGCGATATATACTATGTTGCTATGGTTTCGTATAATGAGGTCGATCTCCAAACATTTTTTGATTTTTTCTTTTTCCCTTGCTAAGTGCGCTCAGACCTTAAGTGAGTTGGCTTTTTTTGCTGATGGGTATTTCTTTTGAGCGGATAAGGAGCTTAAAGGAATCTTGCGCGGAAAAATCATGATTCTATTTCAGCCATAAATCACTGGCTTGAGACTCATTATCCACGATAATAGTGAAAAGAACTGAAGTATTGCTTTCGTTTTGATTAGAAATTCGAAAACTCGAAAAGGCTGCTACGCGTTCGAATTGCCCACGGACGTCTTTCACGAATGCTGGCGACGGGGATGCTCAAACTTGGTTCTTGGAGTGCATTCACTAGAAGCTCTTTCTGGCCTTCTGCTTCGTTGCATTCACATCTTACACTTCTACTCCATCCTATTCCATCGATCGATTTGTCTCCACTCTCCGAAATCGCGCGCTTTAACCCGATTCTCTCATTGCGTCGCCTGGTACGTAGCCGGCCAAACGCCGTCTTCTTTCCATGCCTCGCCTGGCTCTGCCTCCTGGTCCTTCGATGGTCCATAACGTGTAGTTTTTGTACGTTTGTTTCTCTTCAGAAACCGAATCTTCATGCGTGAAACTTTGTGTGCTATTTCCAGTGATCACAACTGACATATTCATGTTAGGAAAGAGTGCAAGAATTTTCCGCGCAAGATTCCTTTAATGGTGTTTTCTCAGCTGTTCCACCTGAGCCCGGCCAGACAATGAAGAATTCGACAGGATGTGTGTTATTGTTTTGTTGTTCTGAGCAGTCAAGGACCATGGATGGCGCGGAGTGTGTGCTGAGTATAATTATCAGGGTACCGAATGAATCTTCCAATGCATGAAGAAGAACGACCAAGTTGTCGTGTGATTTCCGGATTAGAAGGTCCAGTATCATGCAGAGCCTGGTCTGAGTTTGTTCGCCTTTTAGGAAGCAGTATGCACAACTAGTTCATGCTGAACCAATAAGAAGAGAAATTCGGAGACCAGGTGAGATTTCAGGTGTAACCTCTGATATCTTTTAGTGTCCACATACTTTTGAAACAAAGAAGAAAATTCAATTCAAAATTTTTTTAAAGCAAGGGCGATATTATCTGCTAAACTACACTGATACGTTATCGACTACGAGGAATCGACTGAGAAGGGTTGCATAGCACGAAGCCTCTTAGTTAACTTTTTACGTGAATTGTGGGGTGTCCATATACTTTAACGCATTAGATGAACAATAATTGAACATTTCTGTGTCGTCAAATTTTGCAAGGTGAATCACATGACATTTTGTAGTGCATATTAACAATATAAGCTGAGTTTCGGATCCAATCGAAGGTGACACAAAATGTTTTGCATATAACTCAACAACCTTGTCGTGTTGCAGTGTTCATGCTGGTTAGTGTTTCAACCTTCGAAATGTTCTGATTTGCAGGTGTCGGATGGGCGATGTCCGTATTGGGTCTGTTAACCGGGATATACTATAATGTAGTTGTGGCATGGTGTCTTCGTTACATTTTCGATGTGATAACTTTGCAGTCATCAAAATGGACGTCGTGCGATAACTACTGGAACAGCAGGAGTTAGTTCCACGTTTCAATGTCGTATGCCACATTAATAGCAAATACCGCGACTAGCACCATCATTTTCGCTTGTGAGATTGACTGATTGATTTCCCCGAGCAATGATGCAGGCAGTTTCATGCCTTTTGAAGGCATGGCAGGTGGTTTATATTAGGTTGTCCGAGAAGTTTTTGCCCGTTTTAAACTCAAAGTAACATTTGATAGGCAGTAGGTCTGCGAATGATTGTAGCACAATTTCGTAGCTCGTATGTAGTTCAAATTGTGCACGGTCAAAAGAGCGACAGAGGATGTGCAACAATGGGTAGGCGAGTCGGCGAACCCAACTGTCAAATTCTGTTCGGTTTTTCCCTTCAACTGTTTACTTTGGAACACCTTGTCAGACCTCACTCGGAAATGACCTTCTCAGCAGTTCCACGCAAATTTGGTTTGATCGGCTTTAGCTCAATCTCTGTCAGTTTCCCATGAAACACCATCATTTCTTTTTCGGAGCTTCCTCATACTCCTAAATGTTTTCAATGAGCTTGATGACTTACTCTTCAGACTGTCAGAGTGCCACGGAATCGGTTGCCAACGCTGAAGATAATGCCACCTTTGCAGCTCAGGAATTTTTCAGGTACAATTCTTTTTTGGGAAGTTCTTCTCACACGTTCGTCATTCGGCTCTCGTCTAAGAACTATAACTTTGATGGCATTGGGAGCAACTTGAGTACGAGTGATTCACTTGTTGGAATTCCATGAACGACATCGGTTCAAAGCTTGTAATGGTGAAATGGCCATGCGGAATCAACTAATAAAGCACTAAGGAGCATAGAAGCATGGAAAATAGCATAAATAAGGTAGAAAAGTCCCCGACAATTTCTGACGCACTGTCCATATTAGAATCTCAGAATTCCGCCTATCGTGAACGTCAACCACGACTTCCTCGCTAATTTCCCGCAATGATAGCTTTTGTTACGACCAGATAAATTTTCCGACTGAACATAGGCGAGCAGCACTGGCCGTCATCAGTGATTCTTCGTCACTGGCTAGTTTGCCAAAATTGACGATGACACAGTGATCTTACAGTTGGCGCTCGACTGCACAAGTTTACGAGGTAGGGGTACAACTTCTTTGACATTGACCAAGTTGTGATTGGCGCCAAATCGAACGAAGTATATGAAACAGTATACATGTCCACAGTAGTCGTCCATCAATAGAGAGACATAACGAATTACAGTTGCCTAGCACTCATTATCCATAATTACGCTGGAAACTTCATACGTGCAGCCATTGTAGCCAAAGTGTTCGTTCAAGCGACGTTACATAAATGCATCGGTGGTTCAATGGTGAACTTGCCTGCCACGCATCCGACCAGTGTTCGATTCCTGGCCGATGATCCGTGCCTTCATTAACAGAGTAAAACAACAAGGCATCAGAAGGCGTCAAAAACACGGGAAAAATTAAAGGAATCTTGCGCGGAAAATTCTTGCACTCTTTCCTAACATGAATATGTCAGTTGTGATCACTGGAAATAGCACACAAAGTTTCACGCATGAAGATTCGGTTTCTGAAGAGAAACAAAAACTACACGTTATGGACCATCGAAGGACCAGGAGGCGGTGCACGAGCCCCAACGAGGGGATGGGTCGGCTA